TCCAACCTCTCCATGTTACATGTTCATGCTTGCAGTGGCTGTTAGACTTTCTCACACACATAAAAAGTTAAAAACCACACAGGGTCTGACTGATGCATGAAGTTTTTTTAAAGATGTCAGTTTTTCTGTTTTGTTTTAGACTCAACAGGTGCTGGTGATAATGTGAGCTTTGTGTAAGTACAAGAGGAGTTCAGGAGGTTTGGTTTACGGTTTATAGAGTTTAAATGATAAATTGTGTCTCGAGTGATTTATATTATAAATAAAATGTAAGCACAGAATATCAAGTCTCCGTTTAAATATTCACATTAAATCATCTGCTGTGTTACTGCATCACCTGACTTTTGACTGATGATATAATAAGAATATAATACAATAATACAATTGTCCCTATGTATATGTTAGAATGCTAACATTAGCGTAGCTCTTAGCACAACCGTGCCTACGTCCTGGATTTCTGTGATTTCTCTACTCAAATCAAATTAAGAGATTTACTCTCTGCTTTCAATTTAAAATAATTAAATAGAAAAAGAAAGAAATATCTGTTTTATTGAATAGAAAATGTGCAAAACTGTGTGGATAACTTTCCAAGAAAAAACACAAAAAGTATACAATTTAATTTATTTATATACTCACTGGACAAAAAAAATAATAATAAACAACATGTCTGGAAAATCTTTTTGATATTTTTAGATTTTTACTCTTTAATACAGAAACATGGAGCAGATCATTCTAAACTGACAGTATGAACTCATTTACAACAATTTGTTTTTGAGTTTATTTTACTTTCAGTCCTAACCTCACACCTAGCTATTCAATATATGAGATTTTTATGCTTATTAATCAATGAAGAGTAGCAAAAAAACATGTTGCCACAATGTAAAAATTTGAACTGTTGATTACCACAAAAGAAAATTAATAACTTTGATTTGATATTCAAAAAAAAAACAAGGTTAAATGTTTCACCCCAAAATGAAAATACTATTATCTTCACCACAAGTAGAGAAACGTAACATAACAGCTTGGTCAATTATTATCTGCAAGAGATAATATGGTAATATGATCTGATGATCTGAGGTGAATCTCTCCAGTGTTGCTGATGAGGGCGACCTGCAGTTTGTCTCCAGGGCTCAACTTCAGGTCACTCCACACCAGGCTATCGGCATCATGACAGCTACCATAATGTGGAGCCCGCAACTGCAAAATGCAAAGGTCACAGACTTACAAATAATAATACTAAAAAGTAAAAATTCTAATTATTTGTTTTTTATTTCAAATGGGACTCAACAACAGTGGGAAAAAGAAAGAAAGAAAGAAATGAGAAAAGGAAAAACATGAATGAAAGACTCACAGTGAAAGTGTTTCCAGCCTGTAGTTTGAATGAGTTCTTAAATGTGTACGTGATGGATTTTCTCATATTTAATTCTAACCTCCATCCTTCCAGTTGTTGCTCCTGCAGTGACATTGGGTGAGAGGGAGGACGAGAACAAACTAATGTTACAGTGTTACACTTATTGAATCCATTGTGTTTATTCAATGATTCAATGTCATTTCCCTCTTTACATGAAAACAAGAGCAAATGGATTGTGGGGGAACTAACAGCTCATTATTTGGAATATTATTGTAGTCCAGACTTATACAGAACTCATACAGTGTTCATCCACACACAGACAACATTACCTCATTGGACGAGTTCCTGAGACGAATATATTTGCCCCACGGGTCGACCTCAACGACAGGTACTGTGCTGGTGTTGTTCTGCTGAGAGAGAGACAACACACACCGATATATTTCAGCACTAATCAACTAGCTAACAGACAGACAGACAGACAATGGTGTTGATCTGTCAGCATTGTTTTACACAGGAAGTGTCACTGACAGAGAACCTGAACTGTTTAAGACTGAAACATAGTGTATTTAGACATCTGACTATTCTAGAGTTTTCTTGATAAGTGAAATATTTTATCATTATATTATTTTATTTTCACTCTCAAGTTAATGTGATGATCTGATGGTGTGATAGAACACTGTTCATGTACAGTTTGTCTCAGGTTGAATCAGTTTACCTTCAGTGGATTTATACTGGAAACACTATCTGACTGTTGTCAGAGTGAGTTAATCAATGCACTGCTTTACTGTTACTTTACTTTACTGTTAAACACTGTACTAAGTACAATGATGCTTTTACTGCAAAATATTACTACTACAAATATGTTTTCATTATTGTATATGTATGTACTGTAACTGTATGTAGCTAACTTACCTACTGTCTGCTGGAGCAATGTTACTGTACTGGTAGTTCAGAGTAAACTGATACACATTAGTATTATTAACTGTTATTAACTCAATAATAATGAGAGTTCAAATCAACAATAAGACATGAGAAAGTTACTGCATGGTCTGATTTGTGCAGCATTTTCATTCAAGTATAACAGAGAGGTCAACTATTAATGTTAAAGAAACAGAAGTTTTCTAGTTGGACCTTTAGATGGAACAAAGTCACAGTTCTGTCTGTGTGAGAGGACCAGCAGAGAATCCTGAAGGTTTTGGTCTCCAGCAGCTCCTGAGAGAAATATCTGTGTGTTTAGCTGCTAAATGCTCCACTGTGTTCACCAGCTAGTCTCTGACTGTGTCTGTGTGCAGCGGCTGAAAATGACACTATGAGAGCAGTGACCGTGAACTAGGACAGTAATGTTGTGAAGTGAGGGATAAACAATGAGTTAAAACTCACTATAACGTTTTAGATTCAGCTGATAATTCTCTGTATCATCTGTACCACTGACATTGAACACACTGTCACATCGTTTTCAGTTTTTCATTTGAACTATTTTTATGAAAACATCAGTTACATCTGCTTTAAATCATTCTATCCGTAATGTGTGGTTTGTTAACACACAGACAGATGGATATTGATCTTTTAGCAGTGTTGTACTGCAGGAAGTGACGGTCTGACACTGACTAATGTGCACACAATAAAGTGCTCTGAGAAAATCTGTAATACTGCATGAAGACTAATGTTAGCACTGTATCAAAGATATGCAGTCTCCACATTCATTTCAATAGTTTCATTCCAGTTACCACTCAACTGCAACGTCTAAGCAATTTTAATTAATTTATATTAGCATTTATTTTATGTATGTTACTTTAACACACCAGCCTCTCCGCCTCAGTTAAACACAGTAGGTTGGTTTTATTTTTAGTTTATTCTCTCTTAGACAATGAATGACAGTTTAAGATTCTGTTATTGTTGTTGTTGTTGTTGTTGTTATTTATACGTTTTGGGTTTCTCTTCGATACACACTCTTTTAGTCTGCAGTGGTTCATACTGCTTTCAGTAAATAAAACTCTACAGAACCAGTTTACCTGTCACTTCAAGACCCTCAGCACCAAAAGTTGGTAGCTAAATGTTTTTATTTAAATTTAACTAAAAAACATGAATAAAAAACACATATTTCTTAAATGTTTTTTCCCTGTATCTCTGGCCTATCTCTGTTTATCTATTATTGTAATCTCCACTGATGATTTGTTTCCTCACTCCTCTGTCTGCCTACATTGTGTCTTCTTCTGAACCTCTGATTAACGACATTAACATAAATGTTGTTTTTGCATCCTTTCACAGATCAAACTTTTCCTGCTCTTGTTTGTTTTTTCTCTGCAAAGCAATGTCCTGTTTCTTTACTTACATGTTTGCTCTTCTTTTTCCTTTTTTTCTTGTTCACATTCTTCATCTGCACTGTCATCAGTGTCACTCTCTCTGTTTCTTCTTTAGTGACAGACTGATCTGCAGTTTTATTTTTTTTAGAACAGTTTTTCTCTCTATCGTTGTCATCTCTGTGATATTTCTTGATCTCTGTGCAAAGATAAAGGCAGTAATATCAAAGTATAAAAGAGTGATTTCCATTGTTGGAAAATATCACAGCACATCAGACATTTGAGTCTGATTGCACTGCAGTTTTAACAACACCATAACCTTTGACCTCTGACAAATACTGACATCTTAATCAAAATGAATGTCATTATTTCTATAAATTATTTCTATTTACAATTCACTATTTCATGAAACCTGTGAGAACTTGACATTCACAAAGAATTGCAAATAATCTGTGACTTACTCAACAGAAAGAAAACAAGTAACAGAATAGACACGATGCAAAGAGCCAAACAAACAGCCAAACCAACAATGATGGGAACAGCAGAACTGGAGTGGACTTTATAGAAATCATCTGAAATGATAAAACACACAATAACATGTAAGTAGAAAACTACATTTTAACTATTTTAAATGACATCATTAAAGAAATACATATCATGTTTACCTGAAATACAGAATAGTGTCTCTCTGGTCTGGTGGATGTCCTTCTGTTGGACTCTACAGGTGAAGTTGTTGCTGTGTCTCTTCTCCACAGTCACTCTGCTGCTGACAGTATAGAGGTCATCAGGACCTCTGACTGTCTCTGTAGGTCCAGCAGAGAGGAGGTTTCCCTCACTGTCCAGCCAGACCACCTCAGGCTCTGGATACCAGCCTTTAGACTCACACTGTAGAACCACTCCACTAGTGTCTTTATCAATGCCAGCCAAAGTTACAACCGGTAAGGTGACAGCATCTGATCCTGAGAAAAAGGAAATATTTAAAACAGTGCCAGTAGTGGGAGTGGAAGCTCACATATAGTGCATCAACAAATCCTGAATGGTTGCTATCTAAAGACACAAATCTTGAATTCTGAACATTTCAATGGTGTTTGTATCAAAAAGGTGCTATATTAATAAACTAAGCTACTGTATGTCAATGCTACTAAAATTAAGCATAAAGACTGGGTGAAATACACCATGAACATGTACAATATGTATGCACTTACCAACAACTAGCTGAACAGAAGATTGCTTCCCTGGTGATGGAATAAAGCATCTGTACGTTCCCTGATCACCAGCCTTCACTTTAGAGAGTTTCAGTGAAATGTTTCCCAGCTTCAGCTCATTGATGAACAGTGACGTTCTTCCCTCGAAGGAAGGATGTTTTTTACTCTCAAGTTCTTGACCATCACGCCACACATGGACAAATCTGGGGTTCAGGTCAGCTCTCGTCCACTCCAGTGTCAAACCAGAGGCATCTTCCGCAGGGTCCAGATGACAAGGCAAAATTATGTCGTGGCCAAGTGTTGCTTCTATTGGCTGGGATGAGCCAATCAGCTGAGACTGACCTGGAAAGACAAATGTGTATTTTTATATTGATAAAGGACCTCAACTTTTTAACACTATCTCTTCCAATAAGACACAGTATTAATATCAAAGATAATTTTATTTTAATATAACAGTGTTTATTATTGGCAGCAGTAATTTCCACACATTGACCGAAAACCTAGAAATGGAGGAAAAAGTTGCTGAGACTAAAACGTGATGTCATCCTTAATTATATATATAGTATATAGTAAGTTAAAAATAGTGATATCATTCGAAATAATCATGTCCTTACTGTAAATGACTTATTTTTTAATTGTACTATAACATAATTGGGAGCAATTATTGTTAGTATTTTAGCACTGATAGTTGACAGAGACAGTCAGGAAATACTTACACAATAGTGACCTATTAAGATTGTATTTGTGTATAAGTTACCTCTACAGAAGTGTGTTAGAAGAAGATGGAAAACCAGAACAATGAGGGTTGTGGGATGAGATTTAAGGAGCTTTTCGTCTGCGTAGAAAAGCATCTTGGAGCTCTGAAAATGAAGAGAAACCAGTGATTACAGAGATAACTGATGGGGGGAAAAGATTTGGATCTATTAGCTATCTATCTATCTATCTATCTATCTATCTACTGAACATCACATACTGAAGGCTCAAACTAATTAAATTAAAATATCTACTGCCGTCTTTTACACTCTTCTAGCAAATTACACAGAACGAAATTCCTAAAGAAATTTTGAGTGTGCCTGACTCTGGCCCGTTTATGAATCATCCTCTCTAGCTAGCTATGTGTGTGTGTGTATGTGTATGTTCACAGGAAAGCTTTGGTTGTCTTGGCAACCAGGGAAGGCCACAGCAGTCTGTTACTCCTGAGAGAGACAGAAAATCTCAAAATGAACCCCCTCGAACCATTGGCCAGGAATGACCAAAAAACGACCGAAATAAAAAACCGAAAAGACCGTGAGCGTCGTCATCTTGTTGAGCATAGGACTGCCGAGTTTCAGTGGCTAAAGTTAAAAAATGTGACCACGGGAGATTGAGAAAGAAATGGTGCAACGAGCTCCTTTCAAAATTTCTTCTCTCAAATTAACATGGGAGTAGATGGGGCTGTGAGAGGGTGTTGCTGGCGCATCAGTGCGTTTCCTGCCAAAAATATTTTGTAGTTTTTGAGTAGTCGACCGAAAAACGACATTGAAGAGTAATGCCTGTTCACAGTCTGTGAGCTGCAGGCTTTGGTTGCCAGGCAACCAGGAGCAGGAAACCAGTTCAAATCAGTTGGTTCTACCAATACCCATTCATTTTTTTCACAGATCATATTTCATCATGTTATATCCACTGTTTGATTCACACAGACTTTATACCTGTGAGAACCTGTTTGCTTCTCCTTCAGTCTTACACCTGACAGCTTTACAAATATTGACAGTGTCACAGCATTATGCTTTCACTTCTGTCCAACAGTTTCTCTCTGTGAGTCAGTCTTTGCATAGTTCAATAAATGTCACATTTTACTTTTATAGCTTAAGAAAACTTAAAATGTGTTTAAAGCTAAAGTAGTTTGATATTTTAGTCATGCTAGCAATCCTTTCAAAACCCAGTATCTCCGGCGTGTTACTATCATCACAATAAAGTCTCCCGGGCGCCCGGTTAGCTCAGTCGGTAGAGCTGGCAACCCGTGTACGGAGTTTCTGCAGCAGCCCAGGTTCTAATCTGACCTGCGGCCCTTTGCTGCTTGTCATCCCCTCTCTCTCTGCCCCCCTTTCCTGTCTATCTTTGGCTGTCACTATCAATAAAGGCAATAAAAAGGCCAAAAAAAATAACTTAAAAAAAAAAAACAATAAAGACTCCCTGGAACAAGAACAGTGTTGGTGTTAAAACTAACAGAATTAAAAAACGAACTCAAAATTTATATTTATAAAGTGGTTGAAATTAGAAAACAATTCATTGACTTCCATTTGAAATACAACTGGATGCATTTTTTCCACTGACACAAAGGCTAGAAAATAGACTATTATCTGTTCTTATGAAGTCTAATGTCAGAATGCAGACCCTAATTTAATTTCTAATTTATTTTACATTAAATGTTAGATGAAGACCACATACCTGCTGAGTGTTGCATGGCAGAGTCCCGTCATCTGAATGTGTGGCAAAGTCTGTTAATACTAGATTGATAAGCTCCTGACCTTTGACTGTTTTATCAATTACTCCACCTGCAGTTTATTGGTTGGTGATCCACTGTTGTGCCCTGTGTTGTTTTCAGTGAAGACAAGACAAGATAAGACACATGTCTTGCTGTTGCAATGTTCCATCAGCAACAAACTCACCCTTAAACTACATTAATACACAGGCCTTAGGCAGAAGAATGTATTCATAAAGAAAAAAACTTTATTACAGACACTTGACAAGTGATATTTGTATCTGCTTTCTGTAGCCAAGCTGAGTTTCCCTTTATGCTTCTCTATTTATTAACATCTGGACTTCAGTTGCTAGGTAACCAGCTATGAAATAATACACTGTGATTAAATCTGGTAGTTGCAGAGGACCATGAACAGCATTAACAGCACAGCATGGCAACTTAGGAAAAGCAAGTGCTCATGAAGGCAGATGACAGCCCTGTCAGGCAGGGGGCAGGATAGGACTTCTACATCCATCAACATCTATCAGCCATCTTTCTATGGGTCTGTGGCAGTGTGTGTGAGACTGGAAGAGACTTAAAATGAGGTAACAGGAGATAACAGAGAGAAAGATCGGAGGATATGTGACATCTGTAAATTATATATGTATTCATGTTTGCCCAAAGAGTTTGACACTGATGAAACCCGGCCATAACAACCTCTGACCTTCAGCTTGGGAAACTGTGAGATGCCATTTATTTCAACAAGTGGAAATGGTCACCTACTGTACCTGTGTTCACTTTTTACAACAGTCTACTGGTCAATATGCATGCATGAATCTGCTTCTTGCGATACGGCTACAACTGGAACACGGTACTGTACTATACTAGTGATCATCATTTGAACTAATAGATCTTTAGCTCCAGTGTCGGCCTTGGCAGACTGACTCAGTTCAAACTCTGTCTGCTATAACATGCACAAACTAAACTCTAAACTGTGAGGGAAAAATACACAAAACAATCATTTCAACATACAGGGCTTCTGAGTACTTTAAAGAACCTAATTCCAATTCTGTCAGATAGTACAATACTTTATATGATATAGGCTTGTCTGTTATGGGATACTGTAGAGACATAGCGATTCAACATGATAAAAACAGATTGTTTTAAGGTAACAGAAACATGATTCTTATTTCCAGGTGATTATACACAAATAAAAACATACCTATGAATTTTATATTCCATATCTGACAACATACCCTTTTAAATGTTACACACTAGATGGTTTAAAGTTGGCTCTATGTTGAAACCACAGTGGGTATGGCCCCAGCTTTTACACATCAGAAATAAACTGCACAGGAAGAGGAAGCTCTCACCTACATCCGTCTTAAGCCGTCATTCAGTCTAATGCTCAAGCAGTCAGCAGCAAGACGGCATGGAGGTTAGAGGTCTCTGCATCAGACTGTGTGAGTACTGAGTCTCAGGTTCCTCCATCTCCTTCTTTGAGTTACATCCATATAAATCTTTTTTTTTTTTTTTTTGTGCTTCTATTGTGTTATCTATTTATTCTGTATATCTTTTTGTGCAGCACTTTGGAAACCTTGTGTTTGTTAAAATCGTGCTATATAAATAAAGTGGATTGGATTGGTTTGAAATGAATGCATCCTTGCCTGATATGCAGCTTTCTTTATTTTTCTGTCCAGTGACGTGTGTAATCATTCTGTTGGGTGCACATTTTCAGAGGAGCTATACTCAAGAAGATGGTGGGTAGCAAATACTTAATACTTTAATTAGATTCAATTTTCACATTTTATGTGTGCATGCATCACACATCACTGCTTTTCATCTCCAAACGGAACCTAAGACAGGTTAACGTTTGATATAAACTATTAAAACGTATATGTCTCTGCAGTGTACATAATATACATTTTCTATTAATAGAAAGTAGAAAGTTTTCCTCAAATCAAATATTACATATTGTGAAGAGTTAAGTTTCAAATGACTTAATGTTTTGTTGTGAGGGCATACTGTTGTAAGAGAAAAACAACATTAACTGCTGTCTATTGAGAAGTACAGCGATGTGTTCTGATTCGATAATAGATACAAAGTGTTTTTTTAGTTTCAGATGCAGCTTTTCGTATCACTACAGACAGACTGCAGTTCTTTGAATATGAGTCCGTCTCTTTTCACTGCGAGGCTCTAAACGGCTTGACTCAGCTGAGAGGAATCAGAAATACTAAGGAATTCATCCCAAACTGTGATACTAAGAGGGCGTCAGCACTGACCTGCACCATTAAAGAGGCCTATGACACAGACAGTGGAGTGTACTGGTGTGAGACTAAAAGAGGAGAGAAAAGCAACACTGTCAACATCACTGTCACCGGTATGTTTATTATATGTCAAACACAACCTTCTGCTTAAATAATATCTACTGTTAAGCTCAAGGTTTCTCAAGCTTTTCTTACAGTTTGTCATAGGCAAAGTTAATCACATATATAGTTCCGTGATATGGAGTTTTTTTTTTCTAACCCATTGTGTTCTTTTTTCCATAAAATGCATAAAAACTGATTTTAGGTAAATGTAATGAGTCATCTACTATGCATCAAATAGTGTGTATACTGTAAGTTTGTTTTTCATTCTTAACATTTTCAAAATCTCAAACCAATACCTTTTAGGGTTTCTAATGTCTTAAATTATTTTTGTCAGTGTCAAAAATGTCAACTTAAGAAATGTCTTCAAATATAAACAAAATTATAACTACAGTATACAGAATGTGAACTCCTAACTGGAAGGCCATTTTCTAAATACCCCTCCATTCTTACCATTTCAGACCAACTTGAAATTTATAGTTTTACTAAAAATCAGTTCAAAGCATTACAATTGTTTTGTTGTACATGTGACATATGTCTAACAGTGGACTTTTTAACATGTTGTTCAGCTGGCTCTGTGATCTTGGAGAGTCCTGTGATGATGATGGAGGGACACACTGTGACACTGCGCTGCAGATACAAGACAGCTTCCACCAACCTCCAAGCTGACTTCTATAAAGATGACATCCACGTGGAGAGAAGTCCTGAAAACGAGATGACCATTAAGAATGTTTCCAAATCTAATGAAGGCCTCTACAAGTGCATCATCTCTGGTGTTGGAGCATCACCAGGAAGCTGGCTGGCTGTAGGAGGTGAGACATAACAATATTACAAAAAAATAAATAAATTGATACTAATAAGAAGCTAATTTGCAAAAAATATATTTCTTTCCCCTGAAAATATACCAACCAATGTTACAAAAATATATGATAATATGAACCATATTGATATATCTTATATGGTGTATATATATACACTTGTGTGTGTGGAATACTGTGCTAGGGATAACTCTCACAGTTCTATAATTAAATGTTATGGCCAGTTTGTTGCTGCATAAGCTCATAAGCTTTATATTTTATAACATAATGCAATTTATATTTATTATTTCCTCAAATGTGCAAGCAGTAATATGCTTTGTTACCATCTTGTGCAACATTTAGTTTAACTTGAGTAAAGGTTTGGTTTGGTTGTAAAGTATTTATACAAATATCAACCAGCTGCTCATAACTTTCTGGAATTATACTAATAATTTATTCTAAAATAAAAAAAAAATGTTTCAAACTAATTGGTTTCTATAAGAAGGAGGTTTGCTGTGTGACAATGTTTTTCTTTCTTCTTTCTGTCACTTTGTGAAGTTAACCATCCTTTCCACCGTACCTCCCCACAAGTCCGCACCCCGCTGTTGGTTGCTGTCACTATTTTAATGGTGGCTCTGGTGCTGCTGGTGTTGGGATTTCTTCAAATAAGGAAACACAGAGGTACAGAAAAGTAACAGTTGATAAACTGATACGATGTCAAATAATTAAGTCTCCCAGACAGTGGCTCATCTCAACTGTGGCTTTAGACTACATAGATAGATAGATAGATAGATAGATAGATAGATAGATAGATAGATAGATAGATAGATAGATAGATAGATAGATACTTTATTTATCCCAAAGGGAAATTCAAGTTCAAGACTATGGATCACTGTTATGTACCAAAGGATTTTCCCCAAAAAGCTAAAGTTACCTACATTAATATACACAATAATACAACAAATGTATTATTTTGTATCATTCTACACCCTTCCTAAGCCATTTCCCAGAACTGCAGTATGGATGCTTAAGTCGATCAAGTCGTCTTTTATCCATAGATTTTTCTGGGCCCACGAAATTGAGGAAATTAATGTTGTTACTGAAGATGGTTCAAAAGTTAAAGTTTGGTTGTTATACTGTCATCACCTGGCACCAAATTCCTCACTGCACTCCCTCAGGCCCTCAGCAATAAACTGATCCATTGGATTAAATAATAATACAAATAAAAATATAAATACAGACACATAGATATAGATTCCTTCCTTTATGGTTAGATTACAATTTACATAGTTGGCAGCGTTCCATAAATATATATCTGTCCAAAGTGCAAGAAAGAGTGCACAGAATTATTTACAGTAAGCATGGAGAAAACTACGTAACTTTAAATTCTTTTTCTTTTTCTGCCTCTCAGTTTTCTATCCATCAGTGATGCTCTGCTTTTCCTCAAAGACACCAGCAGCATCACAGTCGGGTGAGGAAGATCAAAATGGTGAGAGCAAAATTATTATTAATGTACTTTGGAGTTCTTCAAATCATTGCTCATATTGATTCACAAAAACTTCTTCAAATCATTGCTCATATTGATTCACAAAAACTTTTGATTTAAACTCCAACATATTATTTTTCTTTCTTTAACATACAGACTTAAATTAAGACTAAATTAAGACTAAGTCATTCTAAAATTTTAATATGTAAAAAAGATGTTAATGTAAATATTCAACATGTATACCTGTTTTAGAAACATTGTTTTTTATGTTTCAGTGTCTGGAGAGGACTCTGCAGATGATCCAGACGGTGTGACGTATGCAGTTGTTGTCCTGAAACAGAGAAAGAATAAAGGTTTACTTGATTATAATTTTTTCTTTAACTTGTGTCTTAATTATCTCTAAACATTTTACAAGATTATATGTATTCATTATTTTGTGAAACGAGTGGTACTTTTAACATATTAAGTTACCCACTAAGGAGAACTAGAATAATAAGACGAGTTGTTTGGTTTCACTGCCCTACATAATGAAAGAGGCAGTTGAGGTGTTGTAACCAGTAAAGGTTGAGACGTGCTGCACAGTAGAGCTGGCAGCTGAATTATTTTTACCTCCTCTCAGCGTCTCATACGTGCTGTTTTGTTTTAGACCCGGCAGACGCTGCTGATAATTTGAGCCTCAAGACAAAACGCAGCAGAAAACCACAGAGGGAAAGAGGTGAGAGGGGCTCGCTGACAGTTTTAGTCTGATAAGAGCATTTGTGGTGTTCCTCTGTCTGTTGATCTCTTACTTCCTGTTGGTTTCCCCCCTTCAGATGACGATGAGTCCTCACTTCAACCCATTTACTCCACCTTAAAAACAAGTGAGACTTCACAAACTCTCCAGCGTGATTTTTTGCCCTCACAATTAATTGACAGTCCCCAAATCTTCATGTAGCTTCCCAGCTGCAGATATTTGAACACTACATCGTTACCTGGTATGTCCCACAGGTACACTTCACCTGTGAGTTATGGTTATTTTGACCCTATCAAAGTGACTGCTACCATCAGTTCAGCACTGGTCATACACATTTAAAATTGATTAAAATATTTGCAGTAATTAGAAAAAATACATGTTAACAAACTATGGACATAGAGCTGTGATAAATGAAGATTATCTCCCAGAATGTATTCTTTATTTTAAATATTAAAGCATCTGGTACCCTGTTTGACAGATAGTGCCGTTCACATTGTTTGTAGAGACTACAGACTGTAATTTGAATAAAAAACCCTCTGAAGTACCTCAAAACACAAGCTTTTATCAGTACAAAGAAACAGATGCTTCCATGATATGTAGCAGCAGAGACTTCAAAATATATCACACCTCATAATATAAAAGACGTGGACAGAGCATGTAGAAACATTGCAGTTCAGAGTATATTTCAGTAGAGTATCACATTTCTTGTGTCTTAACATGAAACATTAATTCTACTTGTTTCTAAAGCAGAATGTGAATCTTTGAATACCCCAGCAGCCGAAGACTCAAGTGTAACAGAGGAGGAACCTCTCTATTCTCCTGTCCGGAAGGTAAGACTGATGGTAGTTCTGGCCAACAGTAACTTCCTCTCAATTTGACCAATTAGTCCTTATATGTGATATTGAATCTGTACACACAAACCTACACTACACACAATATAGTGTATGATATATTAATTTGTAAATGATAAAGTGGCCGTTGATCTTACAATATTTTACCACAGATATATTATTGATGTATTCTGACTTACAGGCCACAAAGAGCAGAGACTGATGAATGGAGGAGAGACTCTCGTGTGCAAGAGAAGAACTGACAATCATACATTTTGTTGAGTCTTGAAGCTTTGTCTTGAACTTATGTGTGTATTTAATCACCTTTTTACACATTTTAGTGTATTAAGCATCAATACAATGTTTCACTTCAGTTGAATATAGCAACCAACAAAAATGTTTCATGCCATATTATCCTGCATCTGCATCAAGCCTCATATTTCAAACTGTTACATTACTTCGTGTTGTGTTTAGTATAACAAATGTCATTTGGTAAATTAGATTGGAAATATAAAGACTGAAAGTTCAGCTTCATCATCTCGTCATTGTGTCTATTTTTTTATTACACTGCGTTAAACCGCTTTGTTCTGTTCACACGTGTATAGAAGCAGTCTATAAGAGCAGAGCTGCTGAAGCTTTAAAAGCACTCGCTGTGGTCAACCAAAGTGTTGCTGTCACATCAAGTAACTGAAGTTTAAAGCCACACTGATACATTTGTTTGGTTTCAACAATAAAGTCAAAAAACAAACTATTTGTATTTTCATGTAGATTGTCATTTTTTCCCCCACAGTGTTAATTAAGCACAGCCCCAACAAGCTTTCCTCAATGAACAATAAGGATTAAATTTAACATGTTAAGTGACTGGGACGATTGCTCAGTTATGATAGTGAAAAGCTGGGCTCTTGCAAATGCATACATACTCATTGCCAAAATACATTTAGCTGCTACTAACCCATGTTCAGAAACCCAGGGGCGCCGCCAGGAATTTTGGGCCCCATGATAAAAAATCAAAGTGGGCCCCCTCTGCGCAGCTGTTGTCACCACATCTCTAGGACCTAACTGTCCCATCAAAAGCTTTACATAACTCTAATTAAAGGCTTGCAACTGTCTTGCTTCTTGTAGTTCAATACTAGTACTAGCACAATATTTACTGCTGGTGATTTGTACATGCATGCAGGTCTGCATACAGTATGCAGTTCACTATTTGATGCAAGACTAAAAGCAACCATACGTCTCAATGTATTTTTATTGTAGAATTTCAAAATGGAAAATTCTCTCAACGAAATTAATTAAGAATTATTATTAATCATTATGTGAGAAAATAATTGTTATTAATGTGTTTGAATTTCTGTCATTAATAAATATTTCATTTTCTTTTAATAATGGTAAAAAGAGCAAGAGAGAAATCCCCACAGACTCCCTGCAATGATGCTAACTGGCCTGTCATTGAACACAACGTTGCTCAGCTTCTTCACTGGGACAGGGAGGGGGACAGTGATGGGGAGACAGGGAAGGGTACAGTGATGGGGGGACATGGAGGGCTACAGTGATGGGGGGACAGGGAGGGAGTACAGTGATGGGGGGACAGGGAGGGGTACAGTGATGGGGGGACAGGGAGGGTACAGTGATGGGGGGACAGGGAGGGGTACAGTGATGGGGGGACAGGGAGGGTACAGTGATGGGGGGACAGTGAGGAGTACAGTGATGGGGGGACAGGGAGGGTGCAGTGATGAGGGTACAGTGATGGGGGGGAAGGGGGGACAGGGAGGGGTGCAGTGATGAGGGGACAGTGATGGGGGGGACAGGGAGGGGTACAGTGATTGGGGGACAGGGAGGGGTACAGTGATTGGGGGGGACAGGGAGGGGTACAGTGATGGGGGGACAGGGAGGGGTACAGTGATGGGGGGACAGGGAGGGGTACAGTGATGGGGGGACAGGGAGGGGTACAGTGATGGGGGGACTGGGGTGCTGCTGACTCATCTGTTGTTAAGTCTGCTAAAAGGGGCAGGGACAATGATTTAATATGAATATGTTGCTAAACGTTTCCCTGAACTGATTAAATGGTGATTGAATGTAGACTGACACTAGTCTGTAGCTGGCTGTCTTATTTCCTTATGGACATTAAGCCAACAGGTTAAGAGTACTCACAGACTATAGGCTCCTTTCTTGGTGAAACACTGGGTTACAGATTGACATCCTTTCCTTTGACTTTCCTCTCTCTCTTTTCTCTCTTTCCTTTTTTGAAACCCAGATTTTGATTTACTAGTTAACATTGTGATCACTGTAGTTCTGGCTCATCTACTGACTGCAATAAACACCATCACTGATAAGTGCGCTAAGGCAGGACCAAACCATTTCCTGCAGATACAGGGGGGTGGTCGGTCAATATGGATGTTTACTTTTTGCTCAATGAGGATATTTAACTTTTACTGCCAAAAACAAGTAAAAACAGAGATCATTCATTTTATTATTATATTTGAAATATATATACTGATTGATGATGGTTTAATAACTTTATATTAGTTTTTACCTATTTTTTGCCTGCCAATACAGCGCCCCTGCAGAAACCATCTGATACAGACAGAAAGAGCTGTAGAAATTGTACAGGGGGATGCAGCTAAATTAAAAAAAGAATATGACTGTAGTCTTCTACGGCGGCAGCATTCTCTCTCTCTCTCTCTCTCTCTCTCTCTCTCTCTCTCTCTCTCTCACACACACACACACACACACACACACAACCTATCACTTATTGATCCAATATCAATATCAACTCCTACTCTGCCCCTTCATCATAAATAAATAAATCATTTGGATATGATGAATATAATGTCATTTATTATATTAAAAATACAGCATTGCTATTTAGAATGTAAAAATCCGGCACAATGACCTAACATATAAACGAAAATGTGCCAGTCATTTACCACAGAGGGTAAAGTCTGCAGTTTTATTGGAGTTCATGGATCAGATAATAATTCTGTGACAGGGATACTGCTGGCTGCATGAAACAGGTATGTCCGCTTTTCTGAATTAATTCAGTTAATTTCTTATTTATAATGACTAATTGTAAGGTAACTTTGAATTAAAATGTATTTACTATTAGAATTACTGTTTTACTGTTCTTTCCACCTTTCTTTTACTTTTCGTCTTTTATTGCTTGAACATAATTTTATTGTTTCAGCAACATTGTTTTGTGTTTAAAACAATAATGGAAAAAACAGTTATGTATCTGTTTTACACAGTTTCCATTACAGGCCCATTCTTAATTGTTTATGAAGTCTTTTGACCATTTTTAATATGTATGCTAATTACTTATTCAGAGACCTGATAGTGTTGTTTGATAATGCCATAAATCTCAGTACTTAAGTTATCCAAATGTGCAATATGGTTTGTTTTTCACAAACACCATCACGTTAGATGCATTATTATTACATTTGATCTCCATGGCCTATAAGTTTTTACTACTGGTTTGCGTTCATTTTCAGATCTAAACTCCACCATGATTCACCTGATCTCGACTCAGTACGGTGTCTTCAGTGCTGTGGCGGTTTTACTTCTACTAACAGACTCTTGTGGAGGTAGAGTCTTAGAAGGTAAACAGTCATGTGTTGTAGCATTTCTATCCTGAGATGTCAGGAGCCATGTACCCAGAATAAAGACTTGGAGAGGCATCGTTAATAGGCAACCATACAAACACACATATGTTTGCACATTTTTAATGAGTTTCTAGGTTACATTATTCTTTTTAAGGCAAATCTGTAGCAAAACCTATTGTATATATATATTGTATATAAATAGTATAATAATCGACTCTTCCCTGCTGATTCCAGTCATTGCTTGATGTTAATGCTCCACATTCTGAGTTTGAAACAGGCTATCACGCTCTTTTATTCTTATTTGCATAAATAGGTTGTTGGCATGGTTGAAAACTGCAATTTATTACTCTGTCATGCTATATATGATATCTTGATATTGTTTTTTTTATTGTACTTTTATCATTGCACTATGATTATACTGTGTTTCATGTAGTTCCCTAAGTGCTGTTGTTCTTTTATGATGAGTTTTGTGTGTATTTTGTAAAACAGGCCAGACTCAGCTGATTGGTCCACTTCAGCCGGTAGTCACAACAGTTGGCGATGACGTCATATTGCCGTGCCTCCTAGAACCTGGCAAGGATGCTGTCACCATGGCGTTTGAATGGACGAGAAGTGACCTGAACCCCAGATTTGTCCATGTGAGGCATTCTGGTCAGGACCTGTTGGGTATGCTGCATCCATCCTACAAGGGAAGAACGTCACTCAGCAGCGAGAGACTGAAGTCCGGAGATATTTCATTAAAACTCTCTGAAGTGAAACCATCTGATGAGGGAAAGTATAGATGCTACATTCCAGGATGGGAGAAAGAATCCTTTGTTGAGCTTGTTGTTGGTAAGTGATGATATCTGAATTGTCCATATTACCTTCTTTACTTTCATTCATATGTTTTTTTTTTAGGAAGGTGTAGCTCTTCTTGGTCACAAAAAATGTAACAATTACATTTATTTAAATAAACACATTTACACACAAAATTTCACTTAATGTTCCAATAATTGTAACATTGTGGAAGAATTACAGTTACTGAAAGAGTAAGATTTCTTCTCATTCCCATCATCAGGTGCTGTGTCCTCACATTTCATAGTGGGTATTGACAAAGTCGGTAAAGGAGTGGTTCTACAGTGTGAGTCTAACAGCTGGTATCCAGAACCTGAGGTGGTCTGGCTGGACGGTGAGGGAAACCTCCTCTCTGCTGGACCTACAGAGACAGTCAGAGGTCCTGATGACCTCTATACTGTCAGCAGCAGAGTGACTGTGGAGAAGAGACACAGCAACAACTTCACCTGTAGAGTCCAACAGAAGGACATCAACCAGACCAGAGAGACACACATCTATGTTCAAGGTAAACGTGTTATACATGTAAGGTTTGTTCACAGTTTTCAATACAGTGAGGTTAAATGTTGTAAACATTTCAGATTTGATCTTTTTTCTTTTTCATTTCAGATACATTGTTCGACTCCAGTGCTGCTACTGTCACTGGTTTGGCTGTTACTTTGGCCATCTCCCTTTCAGTTAATCTTTTGGGGTTTTGTGTGTGGCGTTGTCGTCGCTGTAAATGAATTTAGAACTGCAGTTACATCACACCCTCTACACTCAGTCGCAACCTACACAAGGAGGCTTTTATTAGCATACAGGCACTGAACAGAGAGTGACTGTATCAGGAATAACATATGAAACGCAGACAAGGCTAAAACCTAAAGGTAAATACAGACACAGAAATACTGAATAATACAGCAGACTGTTTCGGCATATATTGACAAATACAATGTGATTATTTGTCTGATTAGTTATGAGTTATTCATGGACATCTATCCAGGACATCAGAGATAACACTATCTATGTTAAACTTCACCAATAAAAAAACACTCCATGCTGTAATTCTTTAGACAATAGGTTCTATTAACATTTATTAAAGATCTCATAGCTGCTTTTGCAGCCATCAGTAGAGTTTATGTACAACACTGACTAGCGGAGACTGAAATTCAGCAAATCAGAAGAGAATATACAGTTTGTATATGGCAGCTTAAAAAATGCTTTCTCAAGGCCAAGAAGTGACTGAATGCAACCAGTTTCATTGAAACTGTATATTTAAATTGATCTCCAATTGAATGTAATATTGTGTTGGCCAATGCTGTTCTAGCTTCAGCTCTGGTACCTAAGATCACCACGTGGTAATGATAGTTAATAATCCACATATGGTTTCACCAACCTGTACATGGTCTCTATCGAGAGAGTATCAAGACCACACCTTTTCCCTGCTGTATCCAGTTCCATGTGTGAATACTTCCAAACTGTTTCTACAGTTCATGAACAGTGCATCACTGTGTCACTTTTGATTGTTCATAAATTAAATGTTCATAGATAGGAAATGTGTGTACTACAGTAAAACATGAGTAGTAGTAGAGTTCGCTAACTTGCATTTATATGAATATGAATGTATATGACATGTGGTCTGAATATTATTATTAAACACTTTTTTATCTAATCCTGTTGTCTCTGGTTTGTTATTAATGAACTTCAATACAAATGAAAAGGTCAGTTAAGGTCAGATAACCATGAAGTAATCAGGCACCATGTTGTAACTTCTCAGTATAATGTATCACTGAATGTCATTCATAAGTAGTTTTTGCTGCAGCAACAAATTCAGAGTTAACCAGAAACAACTTAAGTAGAAAGTGGTTCACAGAGCTTCATTAAAACAATATCTTAAAGATTGTTCTCAAGTAACCATCCAATCAGTATCTACTATATGGACATTTTTAAAATGCTAGACACACAGAGTCTCTAGGTTTATTTATAGGAGGATTTATTTAAGTAGGTGGAAAAAACCTTACTAATACTAATATAGAATATAAAAAACAGATAATAAAAATACAATTACAAATACAAAAAATTTAATATGCTGACAAACTAAACCGACTTAAGCTAAAAACCTTTACTTAAACAATGCTACTCAGACAACTAAACATTACTAAATCCCAGATTATAAAAAAGTAACAACTACTTTTCAAAAATAATGTTTCTTTTTTTTCCCTGCTGTGTACAGATGAGCACAGATCTGTCCACTCTGTCTTCACTTGTAGGTCTTTGTGGACTCGCAGATCAATCTGTAGAAGTCTGTAGTGTTTTCTGCTGCTTTCTGTGTTTCAGGGTCCATCTCCTCTTCCTCCATCGTCTCTTACTGAAGCTACCGCTCATTTTCCTCTCTGTCTCTCACCCTCCTCAAGCTGTACTTTAAGTTGCTCTACCTTTTCTTTATGATTTGTTTTTCTGAACCTTTAGTCTAGAATCTGTTTCTTATTTTTTCTGTAGGTTGTTCATCTCTTTGTCCATTGTCTCTTTTACTGGTTTTTCCCTCCACCATCAATCATTAAGTCGAAGAACCTTCACTGTTTTCACTCTGATCTTCTCCTTCATCATTTGTAGGTTTTACTTTATCAAGCTTATCCTTTGCTTCTTCTCCAGCCCCGACTGTCTGCTGACTCTGAGCTGCTGTTTCAGTATTTATAATATTTGATATTTCTTCTCCATTACTCGCGTCCTCATTTTTCTGTGGCTGTTTGTGTTCTTCCATGTTTTTTGTACCTGGAGGATGTGCTTCATTACTCACAACACTGACCTCCTTCTCAGCTTTTTTTTGGCTCTCTATCGGAATCTCATTTCGCTGACGTTCTCCTTCAGTCGGACTCTGATCTGCTGGCAAATCACTCTGTACTCTTTCAGCTTGGGGCTGATCTGTTGATTCATCCACTGGAGACTGATGTGTGGTTGCTGTGCATACCCCTCCATCTTCACTGTCACTGTTCTCCAGAAGGAGTCCTCCTCCCTGACATTGAGTGTCTCCATTTTTCAGGCTCCTCTCTGTCTGTCCTTCTGACTGGTTGAATCTATTCTCTGTCCCTCCTCCTGTGGGATCTTTCTGTTGTGTCTCTGCTTCAGTTAGACTCTGGGCTGCTGGCTTGTTATTTGTAGGTGGTATTTGGTCTTCTGTATTTTCTGGAGTGTGTCTTACTGCTGGATCTTCTGTTTTTCCACTCATTGTTTCAGCCTCTTTCTCTGTTTTGTTCAAATGATTACTTGTGCCTCCTCCTGCTGGTGGATTCTTGTCTTGTATTCCTCCATCCGTTGAACCCTCACTGGCTGGTCCATTATTTGTAGTTTGTGTTTGCTCTTTATTCTCTTCCTTGCCAAGATCTGTCGATGCTTCCCCTTCTGTCCTGAGCTGCGGTTGTTGTCCTTCTTCATCCATCTGAACTGGACCTGTTTCAGAATTTACAGACTTTGTTTCCTCTCCTCCATTTATTGTATTATTCTCTGATTTATCTTGGTGTCTTTCTCTTTTTGCTGGATTTGGATTTTGTATGTCTTCTGTCATCGATTTGGGCTCTTTCTCTCTGTTGTCCAAATCCTTTATTGTCTCTTCACCTTTCTGGACCTCATGTTGCTGTTTTCCAATGTCCCCCACACATTGAGACCCTGTCCCTGCATCTGATTGTTTCTCCATGCTCCCCTTTCTTTGGGTGAGAATATTGTTAGTTTTGTGCTTGTCTTGCTGTGTTTCCTCCTCTTTTTGACATAAAAGCCCTGTTTCTACACCTAAGGAATCAGTGTTATTTTCTCCTCCTGTCTTGTTCTTCTTCATCACTCTTCTTCTTGCCATTTCTGTGTGCACAAACAGTATTTCATTTTTACGATGATGATTTAAAACTGATAACAGCACAACAATCTATGATAAGATAAGATAAGATAAGATAAGATAAGATAAAGTAAGATAAGATATTCCATTATGTATCTCCCTTAGGAGAAATTCAGGTTGACACAGCAGCAATAGGGCAAAGTAGTGCAAAAACAGAGAACAAAGAATATCACAATAAAAATATTACTAGTAGTATTAATATTAGAAGATATAAAACTATACATTAAAGTATACACACTATTTGTTGTTCAAGTAGGATATGGAGTGCAAAATATAAGCAGAAAATTAAACTTGACTAAAACTAAAAAACAAAAACTAAACTAAAACTACTAAACTACTAAAGTGGAAATTAAATATAAATAGTGCAAAAGGCTTGTGCATTGTCTGTGGGGTTGGAGGTACTGCAAAAATATCCTGATATTAATAAATACATTAATTAATGGATACTGGATTAACTGACAAAATAAATAAAAAACACTGTGTGCCACTCTTGAGCTGTTTTTTTTCTACAAGATTGTCCCTGTTTAGTTGATCTTGTTTACATGCAATAGGAACATGAACATGACGGTGACGCAATACATGGACCTGCCAGTGGTGTCACACTATCCCACCAATCAACAGGTGGCGGTAACATGCCAAGTAATGCTGGAAAGCATCAGTAAAGGCATGGGAGAGGAAGACTGCAAGCTAGTAAACATATTGTAAATAATGCAGGATTTTAAATATTAAAAATGAACTCCATGTGTTTATTCTGACTAGGGATGTCATTTCGATCTCAACAATCGGTATTGGTGCGGAGCAGGGCATTTCTTAACTGATCGGGTATCGGATCTTTTGTTTTACATCAATAGTCTTTACTCACAAAGCATTATAAGCTCAAATGCATAAATTTCTTCTTGATGCAAAAAATATTATTTAAATTGTCAAGTATATTGGATTTATTTTAATAACTTTAATGGGCTAAACTTGGAACTGATTGATACACACATAACTCAACCCATAAACTCTGCTAGCTTAGTCCACACACGTGTGACACAAGAGCCCAACGGCTATGCAGCAGGCCACAGTCTGCAGAGTTGAGATGTTGGTGGGGTGGGTTGGTGATGAAAGCTGCCACCACACGTCAGCTAATAGCAAAATTCAAATGCAGTAGGCTGCCTTAACCAGTGGAGGGTGATTGCTATGCATATATATCGTACAATATGTACAATTCAAATGCATTTTTAACCAACATACCAATATTTGTGTTGTAAATATGTGTAAGTAAGTATTATAATAGCAGACTTATATATTGACTTACTGCTTTTGTTTTGTCTCCATTTCCATACAACAAAGAGGACTGCAAGAATGAACATGATGCCAACAAACAAACCAATGATGGTAGGAGCAGATGAACTAGATGAGTCCATAAAATCATCTGAAATTATAAAACAAAGAAAACATTTAAACTGAATATCAGCTTTTTGGAGCAATGAGTTTGTATATTATACATAAATCAAGTATCAACCTGCAACATAGATGTGTGTCTCTCTGGTCTGGTTGATGTCCTTCTGTTGGACTCTACAGGTGAAGTTGTTGCTGTGTCTCTTCTCCACAGTCACTCTGCTGTTGACAGTATAGAGGTCATCAGGACCTCTGACTGTCTCTGTAGGTCCAGCAGAGAGGAGGTTTCCCTCACCGACCAGCCAGACCACCTCAGGCTCTGGATACCAGCCTTTAGACTTACATTCTAGCACTCCACTGCTGACAATGGTTATGCCAATTTCAACGTCTAATAGCAAGCAAGAGCAAAGCCATTCGATAATCAGCAGTTTATTATACAGTTATCCATGCAATGTGCAAATGTGTTTTATACTATTAATCTCCTAAAAATGATGAAACATATTTCTAAAAAACATGCTTTAATGTTCACTTACCAACAAGAAGCTGAATACTAGAGTCTAAATTTAATGCTGGCATGAAGCATCTGTATGTTCCTTCATCAGAGAGTTTCACTTTGGAGAGATTCAGTGAACTGTCTCCCTGTTTCAGCCTGTCGATGGACACTGATGTTCTTCCCTTGTAGGATGGATTTTGATCAACTAGATGGTCTTTCCCAGACCGCCTCAAATGGACAAATCTGGGGTCAATATCAGGTCTCGACCACTCCAGTAACATCTCAACTGTGTCCCTGTCAGGTTTCACATGGCATGGCAAAGTGATGTCATCCCCCACCATTGCCACTATTGGCTGAGGTCGACCAATCTCCTGAGACTGACCTGGGGAAGAGAAACTTTTTGATTTGACTAAACTTGACTAACTTGACTAACTTGACTACACTTAAAGACAACAGGCCCACCAAAGATTTCCGAGAGAATTTGATTGGAAATGGAATTTGAAGCACAAGTTAAAGCTGCTTCTTTTTCCAAGCATCTGTTTAAAACATGATCTTTTTCTTGGGTGAAGAAAGACAGAACAAGAATAGAAGAAAGAAGAAGACACACTGTCTACAATGCGCCTTGGGCTAAATGCTAACAGCCTCAGATGGGAATCTCATTAGTTTTGTATGGGAAGAATTTGTATTTTTACCTGATGGTGGTGAACACCCAGATAAATTTAAAGATAATTCACAGGATAAGTGAAAACTCTGACCGACTGGGCCACACTAGAAGAAAGGTCAGGGGATCACCAAAATCAACAGGATTCATCCATCCTTCCTTCATCCTGGACATTGTGAGTATCTGTACCAAATGTAATCAATCCCATAGCTGTTTTTAGATATTTCAGTCTGGATTTCTGTCTGACATTGCATCCCATTGCTGGTAGCATGGCTAAAAATACATCTCAATCCAATCAAATTGTTTCCAAAAAATAATTAATGCATGCACTGTACAAAAGTACACCAGCAACACGTAATCATTTCAATAAATTGTGCACAGCAACACACAGAAGCAAGTTAATGATACACTTGGGTCTGTACTGCCCTCAACACAAAAATACAACCCAGACGTTATCTAGGTCAATAAGTTATCTACCTCGCCGAAGTCAACCAACGCTATCAGTCATAAACAAAAGAGACATTTTCACTTTCAGTTTGACCACTGCACTTATCTGCACAGTGAGAGAGTGGCACCCCCACTGCCACAGGTGAGAGTATTTTTGCATTCAAGGCCGCTGTGCCTTTGATAAATGTCTGTGACACAGAAATATTGTGCAACAGTTGTTACACAGAGCATGGGACACTGCTCAGCACAAGAGTAAATCTTTAGTTTAGTGGGAAGCAGTATGTGATCTGATAGGCACTGACCCTACAAAGTCTAAAGGCAATGTTAGTATCCATAAAAACCCTAATGGAAAATTGAAAACAAGTTTGTAAAAGTAAACCCCTGATAAGAAATATCATTGCCAACAGAAGTTATTTAGGGGAGATTCCATAGTGTTAACTAAACAATAATATAAAACAGACAGATTTGTAGTTAACCGTTAACATTTAGTATTTGTCAAAAATACAAAGAATAAGAATCTGGTTTTCTGTATAGTTTGCAAATTGGCCGTATTCCATTTAATTTCAAAAGACAGTGTTAGTATCCATTAAAATCCAAATGACCTCAGATATGATCATTTGCTCCGATTGAGCATTTGTAATGGTTTTTTTAAAAACATTTATAGTTATCATTTTTACATACACTCTGACCACTTTATTTGGCATACCTGTAGGATCTAATGCAATCGGATGCAATGTTCACTTTCACGGAGGTGTTCATTAAAATGTACTGGGGTATTAGGAGGGGTTTCTAGTGTTTTGTTCACCCTAGTATTTGTAAGGTTTTATAACATAGTACATTATACAGTAATGATCTTTTATCATCGTATGTATACATTACCTCCATGAGAGTGTGCTAGGAGAAGGAAGGCAACAGCTTGATGGAAAATCAAAATGCTGAAAACACTGAGTTCAGATTTGCACGTCAGTCTGGCTGCCTGGCAAGACATCATGCAGGGCTGAAAATCAAAATAAAGCACAGAATAAATCCCTATAATGGATCTTGTGTGCGTTTTTTTTTAAACATTCTCCAACATATTGGTCTCTTAAAACAACAGAAATTCAGGTCCTTCCCACATTGCCTTAAAACACTTAAAATAATCTAAATTAGTTTTTTTAACAATTTTTGCAAGTCAGCCTGCTCAGGCAGGGGTAAAATATGAGTCATAGAGTTCAATAGAGGACCATAAGTGGCGGCAAACATGCTTTCATTCCAAAAAAGTAACATTTATAAATATAAAATATATAAAATAAAAAAATCATTCCTAAATTAAAAGTCAAATCACAGCAGGAAAAGTTTAAAAATGTGAACGTTTGGAAGCGATTCTTACCTTTTGAATGCTTTCTCAGCCAGTGAGCTGCAGGAGGTCAAAGTCCATGAATCAAGCGCACTGTGCCTGCCTGCTCTGTCTTATCTCCTGCAGTCCACATGTTCAGCCTATTAGATTCACGTCTGTATGAGCCGCTGTAAAAAAAAAGTTGGGGCACGTCAGTATTAATAGTTTTGTGTTTTTTGTTGTCCTTATACCCAGACTTACAACTATTCAGGGAACCCCTTAAATTATACTTTTTTGAATATATATATATATATATATTGATATAATATATATATATATATTGAATATATATATTTTTTGTGGTTAACAAAGAATAACTTATTGCTCCACAGTTTAAAAAAACTTTTCAAGCTGCTAAATGAAGTGAGCATTGATTTACTATAATGCATGTGTGAATGTATGTGCTGTAGACTTTAGTTCCCCTGAAATTTGCTTTCAGTGTCTTTGTTAATGTGTTATATATAAAATGTATAAAAAGTGTCTGACCTTTGATCCTATTGCCAGGTAACTGATAACCACCATTATAAGACACTACACATAATAAGACCTGAAGCTAATGAAACAGCAGCCATGACAACCGTTTCTTCATTGTTTTGGTTAATAGGCATAAGATACTGTACTGTAGAGGACAGGACTGCAGGGGGCAGAATAGACCTTATCCATGTTCACACCATCAACGTCAGACAAATTTCCAATAGGAAGATACTTGACTCTTCTTGACCTATGCAACTTAGACTAGCTCTTTTCCCTTCGCTCACCGACGATCTGATGAGCAAAACTTTGGTTTCTTTTGGTTTCTCCAATGTTTCACACCCAGATGCCTGCACAATTAACTGCCATCCCCATCAACCTCATATAGGCATTATGCCTGCTAAACTTCAGCATGTTACCATTGTCACTGTGAATATGTTAGCATATTAAAGTTAGCATTTAGCTCAAAGACAGCTGTGCCCAAGCCGCCTAAAAAGACCAGCATGGCTGTAGCGGGGCTATAGACAACCCAGATTTCCTGTATCTTGCTTCCTGTGCCATGTTGCTGATGCGGTTTTTGTTTCCAAGTGCTACTTTTTTGTGCCCAAATCAAAGATTATTTATTGTTCTAGAGTGCATCTATCTAACAGAAGTGTTTGTAACACTGCAGCTAACACCTGCAATGAACTACACAGGAAGAGGAAGTTCTCAGCTACACTGTACTGTATTTAGCTTTGATTCAGTCTGACGCACAGACAGTCAGCAGCGAGGCACGATGGAGGTTACAGCTCTCTGCATCAGACTGTGTGAGTACTAATTTTGTCTTTTTCACCCATGTCTTATTACTCTGTATGAATACAGTAAACAAAATAAAAATCCAAATGATGACAGCATTTATGGGGTAGAGAAAGAGGGCAATGAGAGTGTTGATCTTGAGAATGTGTTTTGGTAATTCCATGTTTTTGGTGCACAAATGCTGATCGAAGACTTGAAGCATAACAGAGTGCTATCAGTGAGTTTTATGTGGTCCTGTGGTTTAGTGAAGCATATACATTATATATTGTGAATGTCCAATAAGGGATTTAAAGATGAAATGATGTGTTTATCATGACTCTGTGCAAGATGTGATAATACAAATTTGTTTTTTGTCTCTCCAGTGATGAACATTTTGATGCTGCTGGTTGCACATGCTCTGAAAAGTTATCCTCAGACATCTGGTAAGTAGCAGTTCATTAAGTGTCACTAAAACCTTAACGCTAATGCTCAAGCCAGCTTTATCAAACCCTAACACAGTGATACCATTGAAATCTATCATGGAAATTATTTTCAATTATTTAGAGCACCAGTGAACTCACTGTTCATATGTCCATACACTTTGTTACCAAAGCTCAGTGGTTTTCCAACTCTTGTTCTGTCTCTCCGTATCAGATGGATATGTTCGTATTGTTCCAACCAGACTGCAGCTCTTTGAATACGAGTCTGTCCAGTTTACCTGTGAGGGGTTTAATGGCCCAGCTGGATGGAAAGTGAGGAACTTCAAGGAATTTGTTCCAAAATGTTCAAATGGCACACTGACGTCAACAGTGAAGTGCACCATTGACTATGCCTTTACATCAGACAGTGGAGAATACTGGTGTGAAGGCGGAGGAGGAGAGAGGAGCAACACTGTCAACATCACTGTCACTGGTATGTAGATTGTATTTTATCTGTAAAACCACAATATGTCAATGACAGAAATGTTAAAGTCCCTCATTCTGCCTTCCTAAAGTATACTGTTCAATGCATTTCTGCTTCTGAACACTTTGTAATGTTATTCAGCTGGTTCTGTGATCTTGGAGAGTCCTGTCCTTCCAGTGATGGAGGGAGATGCTGTCAGTCTGAGCTGTAGAGTGAAAACTTCCTCCAATCTCACAGCATATTTCTATAAAGATGGACTCCACATTCAGACCAGTTCCACAGAACACATGATCATCCACAGTGTTTCCAAGTCTGATGAAGGACTCTACAAGTGTAGCATGTCTGGATTTGGAGAATCACCAGAGAGCCGGCTGACTGTCAGAGGTAAATGTAATAGAGAATACACCTTAACCTTTACATTACATTGTTTTTAGCATTTAGTGCATGCTGGAGATAAGCAGATATAAAAAATGGAACTATGGAATGGAATAAAATGGTTTTATGGTGTTCAGGTTGTGATGTGATCATTGAGCAAAACACTGAACTCACAGACTTTCATTTTAAATCCTAGTGAAGATCCCAGAGTATAACAGCTCAGTGAATGAAAATGGGGACCCGATTGCAGAACCTGCAGACAGAACAGGTAAGGTAACAGTAAGCATTGGGAGGCCATTGATTATGATATAGTTCAGTAGAAGACGAGCAGTCAGAGCACGGAGCCTAAACCAAAAAGTATTTTTTTCTTTAGTTGTGGTTGAACAACATGTTGCACAAACTCGGGCTGAAGCTAACAATTTATTATTTATTCATCTGCAGATTTCTTTCTCAATTAATGGATTCATCATTTGATGTTAGAGTCCAAGGTGATGTTTTCAAATGTTTTGTTGCACCCTGTCTCAGTCTTTCATCTTTCCAGCATCCGACAAAGGGATACATTTTTCCCACCTTTACTACGTAATGCTGTGGGTCGTCATCGCTGTCGTATTGGTTCTGCAGCTGCTGGTGATCGGATTACTTTACTGGAAGAAACAGCTAGGTACTGAAATTATACATGATACAAACAAAGTTATCCCTCAAAGTAAGTGATGATGTTGCAGACAGTTGGTGGGTGGGATATATCAGGCAGCAAGTGAACCTATTGTCCTAAAAGTTGACAGGTGGTCAGAATGTTATTACTGATAGGTGTACCTGTGTTCATATGTCTGCCTACTTAGCTCTCTTAAAAATTAAGTTTAAATTATTCTACAGAAGTATTCTGCTAACATAGCCTGCAAGATGATAAATATGATGATAAACATGTTTCTTTGTTTCAGTCTTACTAGAGGCAAAGATAAACGATCCAATTAAGGACATGTATGCTGTCGTCAAAAAACACAAGAAAAAGGAAGGTAATTCAATGCACTTGCTAAAATACTAATTTGTCTGCATTCAAACCAGTAACACCAATTGCAGCCAGATAGAAGTTACTTTAAGGCTCTTACCAGAAATGTTTGAGAACCCCTTGTGCACAAATTCACATCGTCTAAGTATGTCATACATGGTGTTTCGTTTTAGACGCTGCAGACGCTGATAATTTGAGCCTCTGTCTTCACACAAACCGCAGCACAAAACCACCGACAGAAAAAGGTAAGATGGCCCCCTCAATGCCTTCAGTCTGCATTCCACCACAGGGCCAAAGAAGCATTCTGAAATGAGATCAAACCCAACCTGCGTTTATATCTAGCTTTAACATGCTGCAGTATAATGGTATGCTGTGGATGTTGATTTGCCTGTCTTACTGTGTCTTTTTCAGATCAGGATGAACCACCTCAATCTTTTCACACCTCCTTTACCACCGATGACACTTCAGAAGCTCCACAAGAAGGTTACTATCTTGTTTTAATGATTTTAAATTATTAAGTGGATTTGATTCATTTTTAATTTAAGCATTACCAACATTTTTTTTTCTTTTCAGTTATCTTTAAACTTGAATTACATCCATTTGTTTCCATATTTCCAGAATCTGCAGTGTCTAGCTTCACAGCGTCAGCATCTCCCTCAGAGGCTACAGACCCACCTTTCACAGATCCAGATCCCCAGTATGCTTCCATCCCTGAGGTAGTTCTGAGAATAACACTGGCCTTGCATATTTTTATTTTTCAAAATGTGACGTAATATTTTCATGAGATCCTTAGAAAACTTAGTGGAAGATTAAAAAATCACTCAAAACTGTTGTACATGTGACCAGCTGTGACGTAGTATTGTACAATGCTGCTCTGGGTATAGCTTCTCCTTAAAATAGTGTCTCTTGCATTTTATCAACATATTCCATCTATTTATTTATTTCTGTCTTACAGATCACAGAGGAGGAAACGCCTTACTGAGGGAGATGTTGTTGTTGCAGTAACTGACAGACTTTTCAAAAAACTGTGCTTAAAATAACTTTTGAAATCACTTAATATCACCTTATTTGTATCTGTCTTGTTGTCTCAGTCATTATTTGTGAAACAGAAACGTAGTGACAATGTTGTTTAGCAATAAATCAAATGAATAAATAAAGTATTTGCTCAGCTGTGTGATAATATATTGTTGCTCTTCATTACAACATGTCTAATCTGGCCTTTGGTGAGTAGGTTGATAGCAGAATGTGAAACAAGTATCAACAATAAATGGCTATATAAAGCATTTCAAAATAGACTGAGGGTGTTATCATCATAACAAGTCTTCATCTGAGAGTTTCAGCCAACACGCATCAGTGTCTATTAATAAAAGGTGTCAGTTTATGAAGGTCAAACCGTTAAACCGCCCTGCTTCAGTAAAGCTGCAGCAGCTAATTCTAAATAGAGTAATTGTGGTAATGACTTATCATCAGTTTGACCTGAGTTTACAGCCATAGTTTTCACTGACAATACAAACCTAAATATGTACATATATACACCCCTCTGTACATGCTTATATGAGATAATATTCAAATCTTGATAGTCTAATTACATCATATTGCCACAAAATTGCTTCTGACTTTTGGTAAAGACCTCAAAAACACATGCATAGATTCTTAAACAAGGAGGGCGTAATCAACAGTTATCCCCTGACTTTAATGCAGCAGCAGGGCTGCTTTCATTGCCTGGGGCGCCACCAGCTGGAGGGGTGCTGGAGAGTACATACAAGACAGAGTCTGCATGTTTAGTAGACAAGAATAGAATTATTTTTACTAACAAAAAAAACAAAGAAACAAGTCGACTTCTATAATCTCTATAATTCTCTCTAAATCCCAAGCAGCCACAAAGACAGATTGCTGAAATTCAACAGTTAATTCCCAATGTGCTTTACCATAGCTGGAGCTGACAATTGGAACTAACTAACAAACTAGGAATACATAACAAAAATAATCTAATAAAAACAAAGAAACCAAATGACAGATGCAGCACCACCGCCATTTTAGCTCCTTAGTGGGATATCATCCAGAGGGTGTCATTAGTTGGTGCAACACTAACCTCCTCATCCCAGCAGGCTTGCATACACGTGCACACACCTGACACACAGCATGCATACTTTCACACCAAAACACATTAACACATCATAACACAACTGTGGTAACAATTACTTATAAGTGAGCCCCGGGAGCTCTGCTGGTGGAGCGCACACCCCATGTGCACAAAGGTCTTTGCTGGGTCTGTCCTGGGTTTGATTCCAACCCACATCCCTTTGCTCAGGTCACCTCTCTCTCTCTCTCTTCCTACTTTCCATTCACAAAATAATCCTTATAAAAACCCCAAAAAGACCAATTTCCAACATCCAATCTTTTATTGACCCATCCATCAACGCCGGCTACTTAGGGCTTTGTCAGTTGAAGGAAAAGCTCTTGCTATGGGGCACTTGCTGAAACGATGATGCTGCCGTTCTTCTTGGGAGGAACTGCATACATCACCACCAAATTAAATGGCACAGGAAGAGGTTGTGACCCACATATCATCTATCTGTAGTTCTGTGAGGCTCAAGACAGTCAGCAGCAAGACATCATGGAGGTCACAGCTCTCTGCAACAGACTGTGTAAGTAGCTTTTCTGACGTTTTGTTCATATATATTAGATGGAAGGTGAACTCAATATTATAACTGAAAAAAACTTGAAACAACACTTGGAAGCAGTAAGTACACAGAGTATATGAACTTGAGAACCCTTTTGTTGAGTTGAAACTAACTTTCATTTTAGTGCCTGGATTCACATCGGATTAATTAAACAAGGAAGTTTTTCTCCGGTCAATTTATTATTAAATTGATGCAAATTATATGAAAGTTTTCGGCTTCTTCAGAAGCGAAGCCATTTAAGAATTTTTATTAACATCCAAAAGCATCTGAATTTCTTCTTTGCCTTGTATTGGTTATTATATGACAAATGAACGTATAATCTTTCTCTCTGTTCCTTCAGTGTTGAATGTGTTGTTGCTGCTGGCTGAACATTGTTGCCACAGTTGTGCTCAGAAAGCTGGTAAGTAGCAAATAGTTATTGATTCACCTATAGACAATAAAACATAATGGATTACTTCTATGTTCCAAATTTAAAGTCAGGTTTATCTACACCATTTCTATCCCAATTAATGAATGCTAAAACCTAAATAACTGTTGAGCACACGCCAATCAAACATCTATTTTATCATGTGTGAATCATAAGTTTTGGTTTTGTGAAGAAAAGCAAACTTAATACTTAATTAGAAAATTGGAACCCATAATTTCCCCATAATTCCTATGTGACTACGGGGTGTGACAGTGTTCAATGCGTGTGTTTTTTTATTTTATTTTTCATTCATTCTAATGAATTTCTATAGAGTAACCAAGATATTCTTTTAGTCAGCATAATCCAGTAATTAATTCATAATTATTAATATTTACCTGGGTTTAAATTGAACTAAGGGAATTACTACAATTAGTTAATTTCCAGGAAACTTTCAGACAGTTGTTGGCCAATATGTATGAAAATGATAAAGTGTCATCCCAATTTTTTGACTTGACAAGAACTCCGGTCTTTTATTGTGAAAATGTAAGAGGTAATAGTTCATCAGATATTTTTTTCTAGATGCAGCTTTTCTTCGTATCGCTCCAACCAGACTGCAGTTCTTTGAATACGAGTCCATCGGTTTTACGTGCGAGGGCGTCGATGATGGCTCAGCTAAATGGAGAGGGGTGAGGAACGCGGAAGGATTCATCCCAACGTGTTCCAATGGCACTGCGACTTCGCCTGTGACCTGCACCCTTTACAATGCCTTTGAAACAGACAGTGGAGAGTACTGGTGTGAAGCTGGAGGAGGAGAGCGAAGCAACACCATCAACATCATTGTCACCGGTAGATTTACTGTACATAACAAATTCCATGTTATGTATATATATGTATATATCAACTAAATCCGGTTTGTGTCTCATGAAGTTACTTAGGTCAACTCTCTGTCAGTGGTGTGTTAAAATGTAATATTTTTGTTGGGCCCAGAAGCGTATTGAAGCTTTTTTTTAATAAGTGATACTTACAGCAATTGATCAAGAATCCCCAATATAGAAACTTGATCTCTGATCAGATATGTCTATGGAATGTACTGTACAATGTGTAAAAAAATATGTTTCAGTGGGTTCTGTGATCCTGGAGAGTCCCGTCCTCCCTGCGATAGAGGGAGACAATGTGACTCTGCACTGTAGAAGGAAGGGGACTTCTTTCGACCACACAGCTGATTTCTATAAAGATGGACTCCAATTTAGGACCAGCTACTCTGGGAAGATTGTCATCCGCAATGTGTCCAAATCTGATGAAGGACTCTACAAGTGCAGTATCTCTGGAGCTGGAGAATCACCAGTGATCCGGCTGACTGTGATGAACAACAGTTTGACCGAACAAAAGGAAGATGGTATTTTGATTTTATATTTGGATCATATTTTAGGTCTGCAATAGAGGTCTAATTCAAAAGTAATAGTGATTTAAAGATGTGATATCACAGATATCACACACATATTTTTGTCAATTCTACTGCAAATTACTGTCACATATGCACAACTGATGATATTGAGACCATTTGATTGTTTTACTTTAACTAAACTTTTGGGACCAAAATACCTCATATTGTGAGTTATGACCTCCAACTTTACAATTTAAAAAAAATAATAATGTAGCTTTAATATCAGTATATCAATAATGTGTTGCTGCCACTATTTTGTTGAAAAATAGGTCGTTCCTTAATAGTATAGAAGTATCCTTGAGCAAGATACTGAACCCCAAATTGCTCCCAATGCCGTGCATCGGTGTGTGAATATGTATGTTTCTGCTCGATGGACTTTGCCATCACTGAGTGAATGTGTGTGAAAGGGTGAATGTGGCACGTAGTGTAAAAGCGCTTTGAGTGGTCGGAAGACTAGAAAGTCTCTATACAAGTACAGGTCCATTTACAGCGTTTCTGCCAAGATCATCCAAACACCAAAGTAATATCTTTTGTCAATTAAACCTTTACATGACATCAATCATGAAATTCATTTTGTGCAGCTGGTCCTGTGATCCTGGAGAGTCCCATCCGTCCTGTGATGGAGGGAGATGCTGTGGTTCTGAGCTGCAGAAACAACACGTCGTCCGCCAGCCTCCCGGCAGTGTTCTATAAGGATGGCCTCTTCATTGGGAGCAGCTCTACAGGCAACATGACCATCCACTACGTCTACCTGTCTCATGAGGGACTCTACATGTGTAACATCTCAGGAGTTGGACAGTCAAAAGGAAGCTGGCTGGCTGTCAGAGGTGAGACCCAAACAGCTTCACAAACATGCTTTCATGGAACATAAAGCTGGTAAAACGTTATATATTGTGCATCCCTGTTTTAAATAAGAAGTCATTTTCAGCTAACTGTAATTCAGTTGTAGCTCCAAATACAATGAGAAAAGCTGAATGACTGACAGTGAAATTCATTTGCAAAGGTCAAATGACAAACATCTCCTCCTGGGGAAACTTCACTAATATTGGTTTCTTTTTCACTTTCTGTTGTCTTTGCAGCACTTCACAGAGAAACTTCCTTCTGCTCAGACCACTTTGTGTTTATTCTCCTCCTCTTAAGGACTGTGTTCACCATTGTGATGGTGGCTCTGCTGCTGCTGCTGGTGGGACTACTTCACTGTGGGAAACTCACAGTTACACACAAATAAGCCATGGCCCACATAGATAAGGAGAGTACACTGTTAGCTTGTCTTTCATCAGATGAAATAGCTCAAGCTGTAAAAATAAATGGCTCGTGTTGAAGTGCTCTTCTCAGGTATGCTTGCAGAAAAGGTTAAAAACCACAGAGGCCTGCTTCGAGTGGTGTCAGTGTATCTAATTCTGGGTTTTATTGAGATGGTAGATGCAGTTGATAATTCGAGCCTCTCAGACAAAAACCACAGAGACAAAGGTTAGACGGTCCTGCACGCTGTTCGAACGTGAACCTGTTTGGCTGCTAAACCTGCATACTCACATTTTTAAACAGTTTTCATAAATGATATAAGAGAAAAGGCTTTTAACCACTGATATCAGCAAACATAATGCTATTACTGGTAATTCTGGCTGAAAGAAACATGATAGCATCAA